TTCACTGCAGTTTTGAATGGAATGCAAAGCAGCAGGACCAGATGGCATTCCACCAGAAGCCCTGAAGGCAGATGTCCAGATATCAACAAACATGCTGCACCCATTGCTAGTAAAGATCTGGGAGAAGGAAGCAGTACCAGAGGACTGGAAGAAGGGCTGCATTGTGAAACTACTTAAGAAAGGAGACCTCACCTTGTGCAACAACTGGAGAGGGATTATACTACTTTCTATATCTGGAAAAGTACTGTCAAAAGTCATCTTGGAGAGACTTAAGACTGCCCTCAACAAGACCCTGCGAGATGAACAAGCAGGCTTCTACAAAGATAGATCCTGTACAAACCACATCATAGAGCAGTCATAGGAGTGGCAGACACCACTGTACAGCGTTTTTGTAGACTTCCAGAAGGCATTTGACAGCGTGGACAGGGAGGGCATCTGGAAACTGATGCAGCACTATGGCTTTCCCCCAAAGTACATCACCATCATTCAGCAGCTGTATGAAGATGCAGCCTGCCAAGTCATACACGAGGGAAAGGTAACTGAGCCCTTCCAGATACAGACCGCCGTACGTCAGGGATGCATGTTGTCACCAATCTTATCCGTTGGAAGAGTGCTGCTGCGGCCCTTTGCTCCCCTGAGGAGATAGAGGCATAATGAATGGAATGGAATGGACATATACATATGAAAAGTATATTCAACATTAAAGTATTATTTTTTTTTTTTACAAAAATAAATTGCTTAATCTGCATTACTTATAATACTGATGTCAATTCCCCTCAAATCATGTGTATTTCATATATATCAATTTATATTTAATATAAAAACAAGCATGTAAAAAAACTGCATTCATTAATTTACTTGTAACAGTCAGTCATTTATCCAAGCTACAATCACTACGTTTTTATATTTATAGAGACTGAAAGAGGCCACATATTGTTATCTTAAGCTGTGTTACAAGACATAAAAAGATCAAATTGACCCTCAGGGTCGAGAGATTTAGATCAATCTAAAGATTAAGTTTTGGATCAACCTAACTCCCTGGGGGTTCACGCTAAATTGCAGTCAGCCGAGCGGGCACCATAGTTAATTATCGCCTTACAGCTTTTAGTAGGCAGGACAGACGCTTAAACCGGCCAAGCTGACAGTAATCTAGTGAGACTCCCCACAGGGATAGATCGATCTAAAAATCTATGGAAATGGGGCGTAAGGCAAGTTTTTTCCCAGATAGCCATCCAGTGTTAATTTAGATGGCCTGTGGAATCAATAGACAACCTATGTTTTTCAAAAAAGGCTGGATGGCTTATGAAATTTTTGGGAATGACAGTATATTTGTAGTTGGATTTCCTGTAAATTGGTGACCAAATTGCCAAATTACAGATCAACGTTTTGGAATGTTGACCTACTGTGATGCAAATCCTGCAGAATCCCCTGCTCTAAGGACAATCTGCATTTCTTCATCTTAAGAAAATAGATGTCTATTCTCCTCTGCTTGCTGAAAACAAAAAGTAAAAATGGTGTTTTTATTATCACTTTACATGCAATCCCATTTGCTCTCACCAACAGCACCTATTGACCACACATCACCACTCTAATATCTAAGACCAGTATTTGTAATAATACACTTACAATGCACCTACCACACATGCTATCCTTACAGTGGCCTATATAGCATTTAAAGCTAAAATAAAACCACTCTGAAATTTAATTGCTAGGCCCTTTAAGTCTACATGAAGCTGTGTTACAAGATATATTTAAAGCTTTTTTTTATCATGCTGATATATAAAAAAGTGAAAGGGGTCTTTTTCCTGAACAAAACACCTCAACAAAGATTAAGAAAAAAAAAAAAAAAAAAAAAAACGGTTTGGCATTGATGGAGCGAACACAGTTAAAGTAGATCTACATGAAAAAAAACAATAACTTTTGTTAAAATAATGCCGACTTACAAAATTGACTTTTTGCTCAGCAAATTTCACGTGAATAATAAATGAAATTACGGGTTGGAAGTTATGAAGTCAAAGACGTACGCAGGTTTATAGCTTTTAAGTCCTCGTAGCTTTCAAAATTGTGTTTTGAAGTTCTGAAATAATAATGAAAGAAGTTTAATTTCACGTGTAAATTATTCCCAGGATATTGCCTTATTTGAATGAACAAAACGAGAATATCAGAGAATTCTGACTGAGAAAAAGACTTACCATCTTTGGCAACGTGCCTACTGTATTTTGTAATGAAATGTATACTGTATTTGACAGCATCCATCGCTCATTACGGGATATGGAATCCTGGCAACCGATTAAATATTGTGAAATAATTCAGGCGTCGCTCTTTTCCCATGTATGTCGGAGGCGGAAAAATACGTAAACGCTCGAGTTTCAGCGAACTTTCAGCCAATCACATTGGAGAGCGTGCCTAGCAACAAAAGCGGGCAGATTTGCGCATTTTTTCAATGAGCGAGGTGAGTATCGAAAAAATTCAGGTAGATATTTTCATTTAATCGAAGACAATAATATTTTTATAATGTTTTATATGCTAGAGTAATTAAGTCACGCCAGTTACTTTTCTTCTTATATGTTTTTTATGCATGTGGGCATACATTTTACGAAAAATCGGCAAAAGAAATTTTCGTACGGCTATAGGCAAAACCTTCTCCCGGACATTTAGATTTACAGCTTTGACCATTTGAAAGTTTCAAAAAAGTGAACAAAATTTAATACAAAAAGCACCATTTATCCTTGATGTTTTTCGCCAGTGTGTATCCCACATTCTCATGTTAACTCATTTGAGCTCCATTTTATCTTAAAAAAAAAAAAAAAAAAAAAAAAAAAAAAAAAAAAAAAAAGCAGAAGAACCTTCAAAAATGAAATAAATAAACACCAAATGAGGACAAGCCAAATAATTGTTTTTATTGAAAAATTTCTTGAATGGGGTTTTTATCATATGTTTTGAAAGTTTCCTAGATTTCTTTTACTCTTACCCAAACAGGAATCCAACTGCCACTTCGAGTTGGAATTATCTGTCATAACATTTATATTTGCTTTCATTGTTATTCATTGGTTTAATTATTTTTTTCTGTCTTTCCTTTTCTTACTTTCTTTCATTAAAAAAATTATTCATTCTTTTTCTTATTTCTTGTTAGGGTGTTATTGTTTATATGATTTTTTATTTAGTTTTTTATTTTCTCAACATTTTCAGTTTAAAATGTTAAAATTGGAGTCCTTTGTTATGGAAATGATAGAAAGATGGAGTGATGAAAAAGGTGAGCAAATAGCTAGGGGCATTTGTTTGCATGTGAAGGTTTTCAAAATCAGAAGCACATCTTTTATTCTTGATATGACTGTTATTAAAGATGCATGAATCTAACATCAATATTTATTTTTCATTTCCAGGCCTTAAGGGCATTTACCATCCACAAAACAGTACACCCAATGTTGCTGTTCTAGTTCCAAAGCAGGAACAAAAAGACAATGTATTTGTACAGGCAGTTTCCACAAATGGCTGCTGTACATTTTTTGGAAAAGATGACTGTGTACTTCAAGGTAAAAGCCTACCTTCATGTTTGTAAATTTTCAGCATTGGAAATAGTATAAAACAAATGCCTGAGATAAAATGAATTCTTTATGATTGTTTTTTTTTCAAATGCAGATATGGATCCTTTCCATTCATTTATTAATATAGCTTGTATTTTAACAGCAAATATTTCCATGATTTTACCTTATTTCAGCTGTGGAGGGCATCTATCACCTGAGAAAACTTACACCCAGCAGCGGTGTTCTAGTCCCAGAGCGGGTACAGAGAGAGGCTGTGTTTGTGCAGATAGATTCTACCTTTGGCTGTCGCACATTTTGGGAAAAGGAAAGCAGTATTGATCAAGGTAGAGTATCAGGACTTTAGTCTAACATGTAAATATGAAACCCAAAATTGTTCACATTTTTTTCTTAAATGACAGTTAGCTACTAAGCAGTATTGATCAAGGTAAAGTCTCAGGGCTTAACGGCGTACAAGCAAATATGAAATCCAAAACTGTTCACATTTTTTTCTTAAACGACAGTTAGCTACTCAAATGTTGTGAAGTGCAAAGGTTATTCTACTTTTTTTTTCACCCAAGCATAGCATATTTAACATATTGTATAGTATAGAAAAGATCCCTTCCTTACACAAATACAACTACAATTCTAATACGGCACCATGATATTTCGCCTTGACAATAATTTTTGTTTTTCCACAGGATTTGTAGATATCCCTCTTGATGATGAAAACTTAGCTCCAACTACAGAGGGAAAAGGTATTTTATTTCATTATTCAACAACTAGCAGAATTCAATGTAAATTTTTTTCCATTCTTCTTAATCTTTCCCGTTCTAAATTTGGTATCTGTATAAATATCAAGATGTGAATAGTATACCTCAATGAAATTTTTTAAAGAGATAATTTGTGTCTCATTTCACAAATATGCTTTTCCTTTATATACAGTGTCCCAGCCCAGGACTACCATCCTTAGCAGGGTGAAAAAATTAAAATCTTGGTTGATGGCAAAGCTACGACTGTTAATGAAGCACTAAAATGACTATTTTTTTTTTCATAAAAACTGTATGAAAAAATAACTTGGACCTTGTGCATGCATGAAAAACCACCCATGTATATGCACCCATTAACTGTAATGGACATTATGAACAATCTTGAGAGCTTTTACTTGTTCAGGTTGTATATAGTAAACATGAATTTTTTGTTTCATGTTTGTACATATGTAAATAGAATACCATGGTAAATATATATAAAAAGTTGTTCGTTATTATTATTATTTGTCTTGCAGCATCAGTTACTTAATTTGTACACATTTATTATATTTATGTGAAAAGTTATGTACATATCACATATGTATATATATTTATGATAAAGAAATCATATAAAGACAACAAATTGCATTATTTTATTGTTGCAATCAGTCTTATATCCAAGTGAACTACAACCAACTCAAAAGAGACATCGAATGAATGAGGCCATAGATTGTTTTCTTTAACTCGAACAGATATAAAAAGAATTGTACTCTAAAATAAGGACAATCTGCATTTCTTTCTCTTGGGTTAATAGATGTCTTTTCCTTCCTGCTTGCTCAAAAAGTTTAAAAGGCGTCTTGTTTTACTCTATTCACAATCAGATTTTCTCTCACCATCAGCACCTATTGATGACACAGCACTGCTTCCTTATGTAGATAGACAAGATATAGGCATCAAGACTTCATTTTGGCAGGAAATATTTAAAAATCACCTTAAATTAATATTTAAAAAAAACCCATGCCTGAGCAGTCATTTTGCCTATCAAGCAAATTCTTATGTCTTTATCCCTTATAGTTTTTAGTTGGCTTATGTTAGGAATATCTGCTGTGTGGTACCCCTTTAAACAAGTTGATAAATATCAGAATAATCTTGCTACTGAGCTAAACCATTTAAGGCATCTAAAGGATGATGAAGCCAGCTACATTCTCTATTTTAGAAAAGTTCTAATTGCAGCTTCTGACTGGACCAATACCTGGTAAACTTGTACTTGTGGTATAAAGGATCACCACCCTTGATATTTTTTCAATCTATTTTGCATTTTGTTGAAACTGCACAGAATATGATCCTGTATTTGGATCTTGCTGTAATTTGAAATTGTCAGTAGACATTCCAAAGGGCATTTAGTACCATGTTCCCCATTTCTTTTAACTTTCCTAGAATGAGAAAATATAAATACTTTGACAATTGCTCTGAATGATAAGATGAATACAAAACTCAAATGTTTCAAGAATCAAATTTTTAATAAAAATGTTGATTTTTATTCAAATCAAAGAGCAAAAGACCAGTCTAAAAGATTTTGCTTTAATGTAAAATATTTCAAAATGTAGGACTGAAAGATAAAAATTACCTATCGTTTCATCTTTCATTTTCTCATTTCTTTCTGTTATTTGCTGTGGCAATCGCTGAAGAGATGAAAATAAACACAGATTAAATCAGATTCAAAAGTTCACTGATTAGTTCTCTTATGAATAAAAACAATATGCTGACTTGTAATTATTTTAATATCTTTAAATTTAATTAAATATTGCACTGTTACATTTTAGTACTATTTGCATTTTTTCTATTGCAAATTTGCAATGCTTTTAAACATATATGACCACCATTTTAATATTTCACTTACTACACATGGGCACATTACAGAAAACCATGTAACACAAATATGTAGTATTTGAGACTGTTTTTATGATACCAGACTTACAATACATGCTTCCCTCACAGTATGTTGTGTTGGATCCATTTCAATTAATTTTTTGTAATCTTCTAATGCCTCATCTAATTTTTCAGTCTTTTCATACATTTCTGCCCTCCTTAAAAGTGCTTTGAGATAATTAGGATTAAGTTCTAGTGCTTTGGTACAGTCTTCAATAGCCTTATTGTACTGTTTCTGAAAAGAGATTTTTTTCAAGAATCAAAATTTTCGAATCAAATATTTCTTTTTTCCCACCAGGGTTTGTAGAAATTGATCTTGATGAAAAATTAGGTCCATCTACTGAGGGAGAATTAAGGTATTGTGTTCAAATTTTATAAAAAAAATAGTAAATTATTTTCAATTAGGTGATGTCAGATTTAAATGTAAGTAAGTTGTAACAAGTGAGTTAAATGGTTTTATAATCATCCCAAGTGAAATGTACTCAATTTTACAATTGTACAAAGTAAATATAATAAACATGTAATTTTGTTTCATAATATTTGTACATATGTAAATAGAGTAGCCTACATATATACAGTATGTAAAGTATTATTTTTTTTTTACAACATAAATTGCTGAATTTGTATTACTTATAATACTGATGTCAATTCTCCTCATATCATGCATATTTCATATATAGCCATCCAGTGTTCATTTAGTTGGCCTATGGACTTAATAGACAACCTATGTTTTTCAAAGAAGGCTGGATGACTTATGACATTTTTGGGAATGACAGTATATTTGTAGTTGGATTTCCTGTAAATTGGCGACCAAATTGCCAAATTACAGATCAACGTTTTGGAATGTTGACCTACTGTGATGCAAATCCTGCAGAATCCCCTGCTCTAAGGACAATGTGCATTTCTTCATCTTAAGAAAAAAGATGTCTTTTCTCCTCTGCTTGCTGAAAATAAAAAGTAAAAATGGTGAGTTTATTATCACTTTACATGCAATCCCATTTGCTCTCACCAACAGCACCTACTGACAACACATCACCACTCTCCTTTGTAGACAGAAATCAGATTTGGGCATCAAGAATTTATTTTGGCAGGAAATATTTTAAGAACACCCTAAATTTATATTTTAAAAAAATCCATGCTAGAGCTGCCAATTCTGTCAATAAAACCAAAAACTCAAAAATGAGATGATTAATTAATACAAAACTCAAATGTAAAGAGAATCAAAGTTTTAATAAATATGTTGACTGCTATTAAAATCAATGAGCAGAAGACCAGTCTAAAAGTTTTGCTTTTATATAAAGTATTTCAAAATGTACTGGTACTGTAGTGTTAAAATATCTCAGCTGAAATAAAAATTAACCTATCAGTGCATCTTTCTTTTATAATTTTTTCTTCAAATTGCTATGGTAACCTCTGTTTTCTAATATTGTATTCCCACATGCACTTTTTTGAAATACAATGTTTTCATATTTGGTTTTACTACACATAAAAACACAACATAACAAAAATCTGCAATACCTAAGACAAGTATTTGTAATACTACACTTACAATGCATGCTTCCCCCACAGCATGTTGAATTGGATCTAGGGCCGCATTCAATACAGTTTGATCCTAGGACTAACTGTTTCAAGGATCAAATATGGTGGACCTACTTGAAAGCAAAGCCTCATACTCCCTTAATGGTTTCTCCCACCTACCACACATGCCATCCTTACAGTGGCCTATATAGGATTTAAAGATAGAATAAAACCACTCTGAGATTTAATTGCTAGGCCCTTTAAGTCTACATGAAGCTGTGTTACAAGATATTTTAAAGCTTTTTTTATTATGCTGATATATAAAAGAGTGAAAGGGGTCTTTTTCCTGAACAAAAAACCTCAACAAAAATGGGTACTTTTGAAGTATACCCCCCCCCCCCCACCCTGTAACTTTCACTTTTCAAGCAGATTTTCATAATATTTTACATTTACTTGTTCATCTATGTCAAAGCTGTTTAAATAATTACCTGTGGTCTTTTTTCGAGTTTTAATCAAGTTTAATCCAGCCCATTGAAATACAATGTGAAAATCTACCATGCATCTTGCAGTCAAGACCACAGGTATTTACAAAAACATTCTATTTTAACAGTTTTGACATAGATGAACAGGAAAATGTAAAAAACTACTTGAAAAGTGAAAGTTACAGGGTGGGGGTGGGGGGGGGGGGGGTATATACTACAAAAGTACCCAAAAATGAAGTAGAACAAAAATACGGTTTGGCACTGATGGGGCGAACACAGTTAAAGTACATAAAAAAAGACAACTTTTGTAAAAGCTGACTTTCAAAATGACTTTTTGCTCAGCAAATTCCACGTGAATTTGAAAAATAAATAAAATTACGGGTTGGTAGTTATGAGGTCAAAGACGTACGCAAATATAAGTCCTCGTAGCTTTCAAAATTGTGTTTTGAAGTTCTGAAATGATAATGAAAGAAGCTTAATTTCATGTGTAAATTATTCCTTGGATATTGCCATATTTGAACGAACAAAACGAGAATATCAGAGAATTCTGACTGAGAAAAAGACNATGGCAATATGTACAGACACATCTGTGTCTGTACATAAAAAGCTTGTGCATGTTGTACATACTACACATGTAATTTTGTTTCATAATATTTGTACATATGTAAATAGAATATATAGCGCACATATATATGAAACCTCCAAGAGAGTGCAACCTTGTCGCTGTTTGGGGGGCTTTTGCGTCTCGAGGAACCTGAGAGCTATGCTGGCGGGATAGTTATCTCCTGGTAGGGTCACCCAAGTCAGACAGGTTAAAGGGTAGAGACAGAACGAAGAACACTCACTGGCCCTCCAGGTTGGGGGGTTTGAATAGGGCTAAAACCAAGCTGTTACAGAAACCACAACAACAAATACCGAAAACGGCATGGCTGAGGTAGAGTCCTCTCCAGTAGAGCCCAGGATGCCAGGTGGTGAAAGCCTTCGGGTAGACAGTGCGCAGACTTCTCTTCTGACAACCAAAGCCAAGACCAGGATAGGGACCTGGAACATCAGAAACCTACACAGCAAAATCAGCACAAGTGTGCAATGAGATGCACTGGTACAATCTCAAGATCATTCGACTGTACAAGACGAGATGGAGCGCTACCAGGCAAATAAGACTCATGAGTGAAGATATCATCATCGGCTCATGAGTGAAAATATCATCATCTGTTGCTGATGACACCTGAGGCAACATGTGCACTGCTGTCATGGGAACTTGTGTCACCTAGGATCCTGATGGCAAGATAATATATAACTCTAAGGATAGGAAGGCCACCATCATCCAGTGCTATGCTCCCAACAAATGCCACCAACCCAGAAGACAAGGAAGAGTTTTATGAACAGCTTCAAGCAACCATCTACCGAATACCGAAGAGAGACCTGAAGATCCTTATGGGAGACATAAATGCTTAAGTGGGAGCAAACAATACAGAGAAAGAACTGATTATGGGTAAGCATGGTATAGGAAAACAGAACGAAAACAGCGAGCTTCACTGACTTCTGTGCCTTCAATGACCTGGTTATTGGAGGCACAATCTTCCCTCACAAGAATATCCATAAAACTACACGGAGTTCCCCAGATGGGAGAACGGAAAAACAGATAGACCACATTACCATTGCAGGAAAATGGAGAAAAAGTCTACAAGACGTTAGAACAAAAGGGGTGCAGATGCAACCTTGGACCATCACCTTGTAGGAGCAGTGCCTCAAACAAAGCTCAGGGCCTACAAAGATCAGGCAAACAGACCAGCATTTAAGTACAATGTGATCACCTTGAAAGACAGTTAAAGCAAATGAGTGCAAGATGGACTTGAAGAACAAGTTCAGTGCTTTGGAATGTCAGACAAAAGAGACGGTAGAAGACCACTGGCGTGGACTCCTCAACACCTGGACATCAACAGGTAAAGAGGTTTTCGTAAGGAAAAAGCGAAAGTGCAAGGAGTGGCTCTCCATAGCCACATGGAACCTCATTAACAACAGAAAAGAGCTGAAAGGAAAGATCAACTTGACACAGAGCCAAGAGGAGAAACAAGAGCTGCAGGCACTTTACTGGGAGACCAACTGGCAGGTAAAGAAGAGCCTTAGGCAAGACAAGCGAACCTTCATTCACGAACTCACAGAGGAGGCAGAGACAGCAACAAGGATATGAAAAGAATATATGAAATTACAAGAGCGCTATTGGGAAAAACAAGGAACCCTACCCAACCAGTAAGAGACAAGAACAGTAAGACTATTTCAGGAGAGGCAGAGCAAAGAGCAAGATGGGCAGAATATTTTAAGGAGACTTTGAACAGACCCCCATCATCAGTACCTACTGACATACCACCGGCCACTCAGTTACTTGACATTAGTACTAATCCACCGACAAAGCAAGAGATCATAAAAGTCAAGTCCCTAAAATCTGGCAAAGCAGCAGGACCAGATGGCATTCCACCAGAAGCCCTGAGGGCAGATGTCCAGACATCAACGAACATGCTGCACCCATTGCTAGTAAAGATCTGGGAGAAGGAAGCAGTACCAGAGGACTGGAAGAAGGGCTGCATTGTGAAACTACTTAAGAAAGGAGACCTCACCTTGTGCAACAACTGAAGAGGGATTATGCTACTTTCTATATCTGGAAAAGTACTGTCAAAAATGGTCTTGGAGAGAATTAAGACTGCCCTCAACAAGACCCTGCAAGATGAACAAGCAGGCTGCCACCAAAATAGATCCTGTACAAACCACATTGCCACAATGAGAATCATCATAGAGCAGTCATTGGAGTGGCAGACACCACAGTACAGTGTTTTTGTAGACTTCCAGAAGGCATTTGACAGCGTGGACAGGGAGGTCATCTGGAAACTGATGCAACACTATGGCTTTCCCCCAAAGTACATCACCATCATTCAGCAGCTGTATGAAGATGCAGCCTGCCAAGTCATACACGAGGGAAAGATAACTGAGCCCTTCCAGATACAGACCGCCGTACGTCAGGGATGCATGTTGTCACCAATCTTATCCGTTAGAAGAGTGCTGCTGCGGCCCTTTGCTCCCCTGAGGAGATAGAGGCATAATGAATGGAATGGAATGGACATATACATATGAAAAATATATTCAACATTAAAGTATTATTATTTTTTTTACAAAAATAAATTGCTTAATCTGCATTACTTATAATACTGATGTCAATTCCCCTCAAATCATGTGTATTTCATATATATCAATTTATATTTAATATAAAAACAAGCATGTAAAAAAACTGCATTCATTAATTTACTTGTAACAGTCAGTCATTTATCCAAGCTACAATCACTACGTTTTTATATTTATAGAGACTGAAATAGGGCCACATATTGTTATCTTAAGCTGTGTTACAAGACATAAAAAGATCAAATTACCCTCAGGGTGCTTTCCGAGAGATCAATCAATAGATTTTCAATAGATCAATCTAAAGATTAAGTTTTGGATCGACCTAACTCCCTGGGGGTTCACGCTAAATTGCAGTCAGCCGAGCGGGCACCATAGTTAATTATCGCCTTACAGCTTTTAGTAGGCGGGACAGACGTTTAAACTGGCCAAGCTGACAGTAATCTAGTGAGACTCCCCACAGGGATAGATCGATCTAAAAATCTATGGAAATGGGGCGTAAGGCAAGTTTTTTGCCAGATAGCCATCCAGTGTTAATTTAGATGGCCTATGGACTTAATAGACAACCTATGTTTTTCAAAGAAGGCTGGATGACTTATGACATTTTTGGGAATGACAGTATATTTGTAGTTGGATTTCCTGTAAATTGGCGACCAAATTGCCAAATTACAGATCAACGTTTTGGAATGTTGACCTACTGTGATGCAAATCCTGCAGAAACCCCTGCTCTAAGGACAATCTGCATTTCTTCATCTTAAGAAAATA